AAATGATCTTTTAGTTTTATATATTTTATATAAATATTTTATAAAAACATCCGCTTTGTTTTAATTAGGTATTTTTTTAAATTTAGAAAAAATTTGTTATGCGTAAAAGATTTCTGGAATGGCTGTAAAAATGGGCAATGCTAACACACAAAGCGCGCTCTTGAGCACGTTCAAAAAAGATTTGACGTATGGCAAGCGCGTAATTTTTTAAGTTGATTCTACAATGTTTTAAAAACATCTAGAATTTGCTGGAAAATCCTAAAAAGTTCTTAAACAAAACGACAATAATAAACTAACTAGTAAGTTAACTACCAGTTAGTATTAAACTTCTTTAAATAAAATGCTTGTATAAATATACATAAAAAAAACCTTTTACTAAGCGGTAAAAAATTATGCAATTAAATACAGTCGTCAATCTAATTGTCGCTTTGAGTCATTCGCATTCATTCTATACATTATAAAAAACGTGATTTTGGACCATTATATCTCTATTGTTCATCAAGTAAGCATTGAATTTATTTATATTTGTTCAAAACAATCAATTATTATTATTTATTTTTATTTTTGTTTGTTTATATATGCAATAAATTATGCGATAATTGAAAATAAGTAATGTTTGCAATGCAAATAAACAAAACCGTTTACGTAAAATGTGATACTCTGGCCGATAACGCCAGATCACAATTGGCTAATAAGTTTATTTTCGATTTTAAAGTTTTTAAAGAATTGTCAACTCTAAATTGTTTTAATAATATTTGTACTTTAATAAATATTTAGGTAATGTAATATTGAGATTATGTGGTACGATATGATGGTTATGATGATGGTTATAACTGCATTCATTGTCACAAGACAAATGCAATGTTGATTATTTGATTAATTTACTTTAATTTACTTCTTTAGAAAACTTGTCAAATAAAATGTTGATTATTTTGTTGTTTATAGAATGACTAAAATCAAAAAAAAATAACTATTAGGGAAAAATGGAAAACAGTGGGTTTAAAAAAGGCACTGAGTTCTGTTATAATTTGGAAAATTGTTTAGCAGCATCGAGAGATAACCAGAGGTGGAAAGTAGCGAATTACATTTACTCACGTTACTGTAATTGAGTAGTTTTTTGTGTATTTCAATTTATCAATTTATTTAAATGTGTACTTTTACTTTTATTTAAGTTTTTTTTTAAAGTATTGTACTTCGCTACATTTTAAATTAAATATGTTATTGTGTAAAAGAATTTATTAGGAATTAGCATTGTTTAATTTTACAAAAAATATGATTTAGTTTTTTTAGTTAATAAAAAATAGCCCCTGTCTTATTAATTTGTTTAATTATCGTTTTTATTATTGTCTCAAGTGAAGTTATGACGATATCAAACACTTGAACTCCTGATTCTACCTTAAAATTTTAAAACAAATTTTTAAAAGAAATTAAAAAAAAAAATTTCTTGAAGTTTTACAATTTTTTTTTTTTTTTCTTTTTATAAATAGAATCTAAAATAATAAGTTTTTACCTTCAATTAATTATTTATCTTAGTTACTCAATAATTGACGTTATTTTGAAGATGCTCCTTGTAGAAGCTTTTTGTATTTATAGGTATTTATATTATATTTTGTATTTGTATGTATATATATTTGTATTATCTTCGTAAAATATTATAATAAATTTGCCAATTCTTTATGTTGCTTTTTTTTTTTGCAAATTTTGCAAGAAAAAAAAACATTAAAAAAAACAAAACAGCTTTAACTGATAAAATGATTGCTAAATAATGCAGCTAGGGCTTCTGGGTGTGGCGAGTTCACGCCTGACACATAAGCGACAAACGAATTAGATGAAAATTTCCTTTAAATAAAACGTTTCTTTTTATTATATTGTGAATTAAATATTGTATTGTAATGTATTATTTTTAAATTTAATTTGTTTATTATTTTCCATGTAAATTACTAGCCAATTCAAAGGTGGCCTAAAATTATGCGCGACCACTGAAATAATTACATGTTTTATTATATTTTTTTGTATTAAAAAATGCAGATTTAAATATATCAGTTGCATATAATAGTTTTAGACATATGAGGAAAGAGATCATGTTAATGTGTTGTTATTCAACAGATCTGTTATCCGACAATAGCTGTTAAAAAGGTAACGCGGTAACTTTTACTCTGAACACATTTTTAATAAGCAACTTTTAATATTTTTGACCCATAATGTTTACTTGAACTTGAGTAAAATATCGCTCAAGTAACTAATTTTATTACAAAATTTCGTTACTTTTTCCACCTCTGCTTATAACAATCCTCGTAGAACTCTCAGAGACTAGTTATCGTTCAAGAATGTGTCACCAAAACGTAAACTAGGGCGAAAGTGCGAAATTTCCAAAACAGCGGAAAGAGAGTAGAAATAAAGAACATGTCGTCTTTAAAAAACAAGGTTTTGATTAACAAGAGAACAACTTCATTGAAAATATCTATATGAGATATGCGTTCAAAAAAAAATTACGACATCGTTTTAAAAATGAAATTGCTGGTACTTTTTTTACTTGAATTTAATTTTTACTTTAAATTTGAATTAAAACAAATTGTTGGTATACAGGGAAAATGAACTTAGTCTATTTTTGGCAGTATGGAGTTATTTATACCACTATTTTAGTGTTTTAAATTCTCTATCCTTTAATATACCACTAATTTAATAAATCAATTATTAATGAGTTATTAAGATTCTTTATTTCAACTATTACACAATAACTTATTATTTTAACTATTACGCAAAAACTTATTTGTTCATTATCTTAAAATGATGTTTTTGGACTTAGTTGGTTTTCCTTGAATACCAACGAAATATTAATCAAAACAACGTTTTTCCAAAAGTGTAAATGAAATAATCAGATTGGAATAATAAAAAATTTCAGGCAAAGATTAGCTTGCGGGTTTTTTAAGGAGCCATCCTAATGTTGGTCTTAGGAAATGTGAAAGTTTGTGTTACGATAGCAATGCAATTCAAAATACTAATAAAACCATTTGGATTCGGCCTATGGTTTAGTATAAATGCAAAAAATTTGAAACATGAGCACTGGAGCAACTTGCCCCCCTAAAAGTACTTTTTGTATGACTCCAAAAGGATATATCTCTAAAGCTTGGTTTCCAATAGATGTAGAAATGTCGTACAACACCTTTGTTTTATAATGGAAACATTTATACCGTAAGTTGCACAACTTTACGTCGGTTGTACAACAAAACTCATGTTGTACAACTCCGGTTGTGAGTATTGAAAAAATTCTATTTCTGCAACCGTTTTTTGGTCGCGCAGTTAATTTTTTATTGGAAACTGCACAAAAACTGTAAAGTTAATAAAACATCTTCATTTTTTACAAAACATGACGCCAACTCCGTTATGTGTGTTTGAAAAACTATCTTAAGCAGCTTTTATGAATGAAGTTTAAAAATTTCCAGTATTGTATGACAAGTTTAATAAAGATTTTAAAGATAAATGGAAAAAGAAAAATGCATGGGAAGAAGTTGGTCGTCTTTCAAATTTATCTCCTAATCAAGCGGAAGAGAAATATAAAAGCATTCGAAGTAGTTATGGAAGTTGGCTGAAATCAAAAAAAAATATTCCATCAGGTTCTGGAAGGAACTCAGTTCCACCTCAGTTTCTTCAGCTCGATTGGCTAAATACTTTTATAGAACATCGCAAAACAACAACCAGTATTTGTTTTCCTTCTGACTCCAGATTAGAAACATCGAATTTGGAAGAAAACATTGACATGGTATGTGAGCAAGTTGAAAATACTCATCATCCATTTAATAATGATCATATATCTGAAGATGTAACCACAGAAAACAGCTGTATAAATACTTGCGTGCAAGGAGAGTCAAGTGAGTCAACAATTCACGCTAATAACAAAAAAAAAAGAAAAAAGTTGGATTCTGATAATTTACTCGATAGAACCTTACTGAAAACATTAGAAAAAATTAACTCCAATATTGAAAATCCGACTCTTGAAGAGCAGGATTTATTTATAAAATCATTAGTTCCGCAACAGCGATTAAACAACTATTCTAAAGCCTTGGCTAAAGTTCAAATACAAACATTACTTTTTAAATTAAAGTTTCCAGACAGAGGTGAAACTATCTAGCCTATTACTCTACTTAACTGGTCAATGTGGAAAAACTGTACTTTAGAAGTAAATAAACTATGAAATAACTGTTGATAATTTGTTTAAAAAGACACATTCTGGCTTACTATTCTTTTTAACCTATTGATGCAAGAAACATAACATTTTAAGTAAAATTAGATGTGAAGTTACTTTTGATTGATCATTGGAATAGACTAAATTTAGCTTACTATTTTTTTAAGTCTTTTGATGTGATAAACTATAACATATTTTAAAAAATCATGGAGGTATAAAATGTTAATCTTTTATTAATTATTAGGCAACTGTTGAAGTATATCTTTAAACTATAAACAAAAAAATGTAAATTATTGGTTTGTTAAATATAACATATTTTCTTTTATTAGGAAGTTTTGTTTATTACATACATTTTAGTTATTAACTGGATTGTGGTCACACGATTGAACTTATTCCATTTGCCACGAAAGGCTTCCTTCACATGAATTAAAATAATCTTTATAAGTATTTCTTATTGCAATTGCATCAAAAACAGATCTATTACTTGTTGATTTTGAAAAATCAAGCAAACACCCTTGATCTTGTAATTCTTTTTTCCAATCTCCTTAAATAACAATTCCTGAATGACTTTCACTATCAACAAAACCAGTAGAAATATAATGCGCTCCATCTGTTAAACGCAAATAGTTGTGAAAACAAACAGTAGCCTTTATTATTTGTTCCACTTTCAATTGCTTTGCTTTAATTGGAGATCTGTATATTCTCCATCTAACTGCTAAAGTTCCAAAACTATTTTCGATTGTTCTACGTGCTCTAGATAAGCGATAAATAAAAACTCTTTGCTGAACAGTAAGATTTTTACCTGGGTACGGTTTCATTAACCATGGTTTAAGTGCAAATATGTCATCTTCAACAAGGACCGGTGGAACTTTAGGATCAAATTCAAAATGCTCGCATTTAAAATGGAAGCATCATTATCCTTTCCATAAGCCCCAATGTCAACCATTGTGAAACAATATTTAGCATCACAAATTTCTAATAAAACCATGCTGTAAAACCCTTTGTAGTTATAAAAAAAAGATCCAGATTTTGCAGGTGCTTCAATGCGTACATGCTTTCCATCAATAGCTCCTATACATTGTGGAAAGTTCCAATTTTGATCAAACTCTTTAATAATATTTTTCCATTCTTTTACGTCATTTGGGGCTCGTAGAAAGACTTTTTTGAGAACTTTCCATATTGCACAACAAGTTTCTTCGATTATATGGCAAACTGTAGCTCTGCCAACTCGAAAATAAAATGACTGAGTTTGTTGTGATTCTCCTCTAGCAAGGTATCGAATTGTTATAATTAATCTTTGCGACGGACATATAGAATCTCTACTGGAACAATACTTTTTTGTTAATGAAGATCCAATTAATGACAAAAGATGTTCAAGTCTGTCAGGAGACATTCTTAAATATCGATAAAAAAATTCTCTAACAAATAGCTTAATTTCTTTCTCCAAAGAACTAAATGCACCTTGCTGAACACGTTTTTTAAATAGTTCTCTCGCCCGAAAAAGGTTAAAACTTTTTTAACCTTTTTCGGCGTTTTAAAATTAAAAGTATAACAAAAAGTCGATTGTTTAGAGTAGCATAATTTCTAGTCGCGGCAATTTTTTTTTTGTTATTATATAAAAAATTTAGCGGCAATTCAGTATAATGGAAACACAACGTTGCACAACAATTTACCGCACAACAAATCAAAGGTATGTTGTACAACTGTTGTAAGACATTTCTACAACTATTGGAAACCAAGCTTAAGGAAAGATATTTTACTTTTTTGCGTTATTTTAACCAGCACCGATTACCATGGTTTTTGACGGATATCTTAGCCATTTGGATGTTGCTGTAATAGAGAATGCAGAAAAAATAAACATCCGCATGCTTTGGCGTTGCAGTCATAAACTTCAACCCCATGAAGAAAAGTGTTTTCAAATCAAAGAAAAAGCTCTGTTCCACTGTTATTTATTGAAATACACCTGCTTAAATAACAAAAATAGTCACTAAAAATAAACCTGATGAAGATTTGTAGTGATTGCAAACTTTTTTACCACTAAAAAAAGAAATGATCGGATTCAATGTACAATATGCACAATTTAGTGCCATGAGCACTGTGAAAAAGGAAACATAAAAAGTGGCTTCTGCACTTTGTGCAAAGGTTGTGCAACAATAATTAAAATGATTAAAGTTATAAAAATCTTATCGTTGAATATTTTAATTTATCGCGTAATAATTATAATCATTAATTAGATTACAATTATTACGCGTTAATTTTAGCGTAATAATTATAATCTAATCGGTAAGTCGTGAATGCGACTAAACGATTAGATTATAATAATTTCAATCAAAAGTTTAACACATACTTTGATTTAATAAATAAGGGTTCATTTTTTAATCAATCCTTTAACTTAATCTGCGTTTATGAGTAAAGAAATACAAAAAAGTTTGGGGTGGAGTTATAGGACGCTTATAAAAAGCTTATAACGCCTTTTGTATAAATTTTTATTATTATATAAATATTAAATTTAATATTTACATAATAATAATCAGCAAAATATAAAAGGGTGGCGCTATTAGACTACTTTACTTTAAGTTATACAGATTAATTTTTTTAAATCTTAACTTATAAAAAATCTTGTTTTGCATTATGTTTTGTAATTTTTTCTTTATTTAACTATATATTTATTTATCATAATTTACTAAAATATTTTAATACATTTTTACCGCACACTATTTAATAAAAAAGTTCACTCATTTAGAAATATACGTTTTTGCAATTTGACTAAACTCTTAAATTATTAGTAACTAAAAAGTCCCCTAAAAAATAAACAAAAAACTTTCCAATTTTACAAATAATTATTTTCAATTAAAAAGGTAAAGGTTTATTGAAGAAACAACTATTTGTTTATTTTTCGTAAACCAGACAAAATGAGAAATTTTTCTTGTAAAGAATTTTAAAAGTAAATAGAATCTTAAAAATATAGTTAAGATTTTATTTATTTAACAATATATGCATAATTTAATTAATAAAATTTGGTACTGGTACAAATTAAAAATAGGCACTTCGCTCGATTTCACTATTATAATTATCTCTTTTTATAATTAATACCAAAATATGCGGATAATAAAGACGTTTTCAGAATGAGTTCGTTCTTTAAATTTGGATAACTGGTTCCCAAGTTATGACAATATATGTTGGGCTTAATAACGCCTATTTTGCGTCAAGATGTGTTGAGTTTTACTTAAGAATATATGGCACCAAATTTTGATAATAAATTTATTTTTCAAATGCTATCAATGAGAAGGAGTTTAATTGAAGTACTTATGCATAAT